GTCTTTGCATAGAAATTAAATGTATTTTTTGGTAGAGTTTGAAAACTAATGAATTTAGTTTGAATTTCATACTCATATTGCCTTCAAGTAGCGATCAGTATATGATTTGAGATTTTTTTCTGAATATGTTTTCCTTTTTTAGTGTCGACACTACTGTCGAGTAAATGAAATTCACTTTTTTTGTCGACATTTTGCTTACAAATTACGGAATAATTAAAATCAGTGCTTCAACCAAATACTAATAAATAATTTTTTATTAAATCAAGATTTGTATGACTGTCTAAACGTTGAGAACATTTAGTATTAGTTTTGAGTCAATCATCAAAGTGTTACGAAAGTTGTACTAAAAGTTTTACAATTGTTATTCAATTAATGTTTAGAACTAATAGATTCGTGAATAATATTCAACGCAAACATAATAATCATTGACTATTGTACTAAATATTGCACTAATGTATATAAATGGACAAATATTATATTGAAATCAAAAGATTTTGTGTACATTTCGACGTTATATGCAATCATAAGTACTGTAATTGATTGAACTCAAGGTAATTTGCAGGTAATTTCCTTTTCATACAATGAATTCAATGGAGCGCTTAATGTGTGACTTTGTGTTAAGACATACAGCTCTACATTATTTTACTTTCTTTTTCAAACATTTTTACAAAACTTTTCAAAACTAAAATACTTTTACAAATATTTGTAATTACTGTTGAAAATAATCTAATTATCACACATTTGTCTATTAATACACTATTTATAGCTGATATACACTGAATACCAGTTGTCAGAAGCGAACAAAACCGAAACACATTTGAGACACGCGTTGAATGTCACCGAAAAGACATTGAGTGCGGATAATGGCTGGAAGTCAGAGACCATTGAACGACTAAACCAGTTGTCTATGTATTGCACCGACAGAGACAAACACATATATGAACTCAATTTGCAAATGGATTCATTAAAACAAGAAATCTCTGACAGAGACAATGAGCTATGGTTTTTCAGGTCTTGATATTTGCCATGAAATCTAATTTCACTATTATTTCACACTTAACTGTACGGTACTATCGCTATACCATTGACCCGACAATCAAATGAACACTTAATTATCAGCCAATACTTATGGCGATAACTCTATTGTCACTCGACCTTTGATTTACATTTTGTTAACACTTGCATTTATTTGTTTGACAAAAGTTGTCGTTAATTGTATTACTCCAGTGAACACAACATGTGATAAAATTCTTATGATTTATTATATAATATCTGCGAAAGTGTTTGTATGAGAAATATTGCGAAATTGAATGCCTTTTTCCAATTAATTATATTTTATAAATTTAATGAAACAAATACTGTAGTTTAATGTGTTTGGTATCATGCGATTATAATTTATTTATATTGATTTAAATATATTACTCTTTCAGTAAATACAAACACTGATATAATCTCATTTCATAACAATTACTAGTTTTGTAATCATTTGTGGTTTCATAGAAAGCTTAAGACATGGAATGCACTTATTTTTTGTTAATTATACCATTGATTTGCGAACTTATTGTGAATTTTATGCACTTATTAGACTTGAGATAAGTATTCAAAAAACCATTATAGAGAATAGATAACAATTTTTACGATATTATCATTAGTTACTAGTAAGTAAATAGTTTACGGATATATATCTTAAATACATTGATCTAAAAAATAGTTGGGAATTAGTTCCTAATGAAAATAGGATTTGTTTTCGGTATCAAATTCCTTATTTGAAATTTCATAGAAAATAATATCTGAAAATATATGATGTATTTAATACATGGAAAGGAATTTTAATTAATTGAAAACTATTTGTTCAATAAATGAATATCACTCTCGATATTGTTTGGGAAAATCTGCTATTTTGAACACAAACAGTGAACATATTTATGATTTATTATAATTATAGCCTTTTATATCTATTAGTTAAATAATAGTTGCGTCGAAAACATGAGTTAATAATACGGTTTGCATTTGAAGTTCAAAACAGTAGTCTCGTATAAGTTATAACATACATAATACATGTATATTAATATGTATTTTCAAAGTACTGAAGTATTGAGGTTTGGAGAAAAGTTGCTGAACTACTTGTTCTGCTCTTAACAGGAGTACTAGTTTAGTATATTTTTAAACACTCATGACTTAACCAAATGTTGGGTATTTCCCCACAATTGGGTTTGGGCTCTAAAATCCCATCCAATTTGTGTTTTCATAACATTTACTGCAATTTCAGTACTCGTTGTGCAGAGAAAAAAGAGCACAGAGAGTGGAAAACACAGAAATTATACGAAAATTCCTATTCACTAATAAACAAACCGCTAAACCAATGATTGCTTTAACTATAGACAGAGTATAACTCAAATGATTGTTATTTTCCTCATTAGTCTTCATTTGAATCGTTTCCCAGAGAACAACACTTTTTTGTGTTCACAAAGTTTGAAAAATCGCATAAATTGAGTGAAACTTATTTATTTTGCAAAAGTTGTGTGAAGTTTACATAATAGTTAGCAATGATTTTCAGTGATGTTTGTTATGTTAATTCACTGATGAAGAGACGGCGAATGACCAATGGTTTAGGTTTCGCTAATCTCTGTCTATTGCCGTCCATTCTTGAGACTCAATTGGACTGTTGCTTGAGGTCAGACACCAGAGGAATGCCATATAACACCACTAAACACTTCTCTATCTCTCAGTCACTTCTCTCTCAATGTGTTTATTCTGTTTTCAATGACTTGTGTCTCAGCTATAAATTGAATCACTTATTCAAATGAATTATTCTAGTATTCAATGTTTTCTTTAAATTTTGACTAAAACTTTGTACTTCTATTTATTTACTTTAAAACAAATAGTTTCCGCTCTCTCTCTCTCTCTCTCTCTCTCTCTCTCTCTCTCTCTCTTTCTCTCTCGCTCTCTCTCTCTCCACTTCATTGCTATTCAAGAAAATAATTCACTTAAAAATCCACTTTTAATTTCAAATTTGTGTCTAAATATATCCATCGATTGTGTCGGCAATACAGGAGTGGTGAGCAGTCGTCTATCGGACATGACTTAGAATCGGAGACAAGGAGTGCATCGAATACCAGCTCTTCATCACTCAATCGCAACAAATCCGTGCATAAGAAGAGTTGTGACAAAAATATATTCAAAGATTGTGTAAGTTTTGTGTTTTGCTTTCTCCTATCAGTGCTGTCACTGTATTACCGCTTCGTATTTGCTAAGAATTTCTGATAATTTATTTCATGTTTTCATAATTATTTGCATTTAGTCTGCAATGAATCCAACTGAGGATCAGTTGTACGAAAAGTTGTCTGATTTTGATAACAACAACGTTGATAGCATTTATTATGAAGTGAGTGCTCAAACATAATCAACATTTTTACTTATTCTTGCATTTTATTCACAATTTTTTAATTTTTGATTATTAAAACTTAAATTATTCAAAAAAATTATTCTTAAATATTATTTTAGGAGAAAAATATTTCCGAAGACACCTCTGAAACAGTTGTCAATTCAGAAGATGAGACAAACTCTGAGTTCTCTTCCAAATCATCTTTGTTTCCGTCGCTTCCGGATGTGATACTCAGAAAATTACAACTTCTTCGGGAGAGTAGTTGCAGGTATTGGACATCGCTTTCAATTACACTCTATTGACAATTCATTGTAAAAATGATGGCATATAATAGCTATTGACGCGAATGAGATTCACTCGTAATGAGGATATTATCATAGATTTATTAATTCTTTTAAATTAAATTTAATTAATTAATTAATCATTTCCTGAAATTGAGAATTGGTTGCATGAGATAAGTGTGAAAACCTTTGAGATATCATTTTAAATTAAGTTTTAATGAATCATACTTTTAATTTATAAGCGAATGTCATTAACAGCAATTTATAATTAATTATGTTTTTAAATGAAAAGGAAAATTTAACATTAATTTTTAATTTTAATATGAAATCACATGCTAGTTTAATGTTGTACACACATTTGTAATGTATATCTATTCTATAGATTCTATTGTATAGATATGACACAAAATATAGTGTATTTATAACGACACGACTATAAAACATTTTGCCTGATATTCCATATAAATCCTAATCCTGTCTGTAATTTATATGTGTTGTCAAATCGGAAGGAATAACAGCCCATAGAATGCATTCCCTCTCATCTGTCACAACGCTTTCATATCTTTGCATAAAATAATTGATTTATTTCTCACTTTTCTGTAATTTATTACACTTTAGTTCAGTATTTTGTTTCACTTTCTTGTAAGTCTGGAAATGTTTTGATAAAATATAGTCACAACCGAGAAATTCTTAGTAATGAATAAGATATCACTCTATGATTTGGTTAAATCAGTTGTCGCCGCAAAGAATGAGAGGTTTTTCTGATGACAATTGAGTTGTTTATGAATATTCTGGTGATTCTGAGGCTTAAAATGTATTTATGTTTTATATGTTTGCAATTCTAGTGTCGAAAGTTTGACTGAAGAGGAGATTGAGTCGAAATTCACGACATTATCGCTGGCCTTCAAGACCGATAAGTTGACGTTAGAGCAGAGGCTGAACCTCCAGAAGCATCAGAGAGATGTGGCGGAAGCCGACGCCAACAATGAGTTGCGATCGCTTCGAGAGACTGTCCGTCTGTTCAATCAATTGATGTTCGGTTCGGACGACGACTTCATACTATCGGCGACTGTGAGGACAGAAGTGAAAGAGTTGTTGCAGCGGATGGAGAGTCAGGTGGAGGTCGTCGGACAGACCAACGCCAAGATCTCATCGCGTAGTGAACTGTACGGAGCGGCCAAACAGGAGGAGCGGATGAGCGCCGCCTTCGATGTGATTCTCATTCATTCGCAGAATCTTAAGAAAGAGACCGAAAAGTGTCGCAAAGAGTTAGAGAAAACCAAAAAACTACTCAATTCTGTGGCCAATAAGAAGCCGGACTTCGAGAGCGATTCGGACAACGAATCGGTTCCACTGCGGCGTTCCATTAGATCCATTTCCACCACAATCCTACCCAAACTGGTCAGTCATTCATGTCTTATAATTATAAGATACGTTATAATAGCAATCTATAAATTAACGCTCCAGTAGTTACTACTGTATTTCAAAATGCATTTCTATATAACAAAACTAATTTTGCTTTTTATTACTTTTATTCAATGAATCAATTGCTTTAAAAATTCATTTAATTAATTGCTTGAAATTCAAGGAATTTTTACATTCACTGAATGCATGCTTTTTGTAGTGAACTATTTTAACACAATTTTCCAGTTGATTCCCCTTTTATTCCCTAATAGTTGGGCATTAATAACATGAGTGCACCTGTAGTTGTAGATGTAGTATGCGTACAGATTCTGTAGTAGTGTATGGATTGAGTATTTATTTGTTGCAGAACTTGATCCGAGTTCGAAGGGCCAGTGTCTCCTCATTAGAGGTATTGCCGGTAAGAGACAGTCAAATATATCCACACTTTCACCAACATATCATTGAGTTATCAATTATTTTGCTTAATATTAAGTATGAAATTAATAAATCATTGAAATTATTAATATTTATCTATCTGTAGAAATGATTAAATGTCGTATATTTTTGAATAAATTATTCAAAATCTATCGATAAAATCATTTTTTTAATTTAATGAAATTTTCACAAATGTTGTGCAATTATAATGATATTTTTATGAAGTATCCTTGAGTTTTGTTTATCCCTCTATAAAAATATTATTTATTCAAATAATTTGGACTTTTGTGACAGAATATGAAAGCAATAATAAGTACAGTGTATGGCCTTTATTAGTGCAATATTCTTGGAAATGATTTGCATTTATGAAACTTGAATTTTAAATTCATTTCATTATAATTCTTATTTTATTTTCTATTACTGTATATTTGAATATTTTATTTTAAAAATGTCTCAATTTATGATTTCCTTAATATATTTACGAAACATAAACCAAATCATGAATAATACAGAAAAGTCTAATTATATTTACCGGTATTCAAATGAATTCATATAATTATCTATTGATTCCGTAATAAATTATAGAATTTGGAAACTCAACGAAAATCAGTGCAAAATAACATCAGATATGCGGCGCCCAAACCGTCCTACCTGTCCAACAGGTCCCGGCGCTGCTCAATGCCGGCCACTTCAGCCATGTTCCGACCCCGGAATGGTGTGGACAGTGAGCCATTGCCCTCCTATTTGGAGATAACGGCCGAAGAGAAGGGCGGCTCCGAGTCGGACGGCGCCTCTTCTGCCGCTAATCCCGACTCAGATAACGAACGAACGGAACAAACGACTCAATCATTGACTCCAAGAAAGTCGTCGATAAACGAGTTAAACAACACTTCCATCAATAATAACAACACCAGAAATGCCATCATTACTGATATGAACGATACGTATAGTCATCGCATTGTAAGCAACGATATCACCAATGATTGTGACGAAGATTCTTGTGATGAAGACACGAATGACAATGATTTTGATGACAAAAACAGCGATGAAAGCAAAACTATTGTCGATTTGATTGAATTTAAATATTTAGTCAATTTGTGAGTGAATTCGCAAATCATATATTGAGAACTGGTTTTAAATTTGCATTTCTTTACAAAAACAGATATAATCAGAGATTTGATGGAAGAGTTGGCTCTATCGTGAGGTCCATAACAACAGACTTTCGACTCGTGCTGTCCTTAACTCTACTCATTATAGCGATGGTTATAATGGTGTGGTCGCTGTTGCCGATAGGCTTTCCCTGTGAGTGTCGGTGCAGTTATTCTTGGTACCAGATTCTCAGTGCAATTCTTATGTCTCATTCCTCGCAAGACATAGTCAGTCCCATCCAGTGATCAGTTGTTTATTTGTTTTGTATGACTGTTATTGTATTAATTTATATTTTAATATTTTGTAAATTGTTAGCAAATCTATTAATTTTATGATCATTTCATTTATTGTATGTTATTTTTCTCATTAAATTCACTCATTTGTTCGCTATTCATATTTCATATGACATTCAAATTGATTATTATATTAATATTCGTATTGAAAATAATGTTCACATCGATTCTGTGCTCAATTACAGTGTTAATAATTGTGACAAACAATTGGTAATACATTTCATACCACTTTCGTAACAGAATTCAAACTTAATGTTTAGAAGTTTCTAAATTCAATTCAAATACATTGAAATAAGCAAAAGTTTGGACAGGTAGGACAGGTAGGCGCATGTGTATAATACCTGTATTGGCGCTCAATATTGAATATTCTGTGTACAGTAGTTGACTGTATGTGTACATGTAGAATATGTTCACTAATATGAATAGTACCTAGATTATGAACTCAATATTCAAACCAACACGTGTTCATAGATTGCTATCATTTTCACATTCATTTCTATTAGCATTTGACTCATTAGTTGACAAATAATTAGCGATTAATTGGAGAAATGGTTTGTTTTCATGAAATGATCGACAGATTCACACATTTGTCACTCAATGGAAATACTGATAATAGAGATGTGTTGTGAGTGGACACCTAATCAATCAGTTGTCATAACTTATTTGAATTCATTATAAGTTAATTGTTAGCATTCATTGTTTGATTGAAGGCCTGTTATAATGATGGATCAAATAGAAGTGCTTGAAGTGGATCCTCAGCTATACTTCCAAGTCTTGAGACCTTTTAGGGCTATAAGAAGAGCACTAAAAGAAAGGGCTGAAGAACAGGTCACCAAAGAGTATGTATTCATTTATTTTATCAAATAATTTGATTAATTCCTACTTATTATGAATGCCGCGATATACTGTATTGATTGCAATTAAGACACAGAATTTAATACGTGTTTTAACATTCAGTATTGCATTCAATCCAATAGTTTTACTCTCTATGAGAGATAAGTCTTAGTTTTTAAGGATTATTCGCCATATCTATTGAAATATTAGCACAAGTTTTCATTTATTCTCATTACATCCCAACCGACCATTTGTTTTCATAAATCGCACAAAATATGCCTTGATCGTTTAGTATTTATAATAAGTATTTAAAAATCTAAATATTCTCATTATAAAACATCTATTATTGAAAAATTAATTATAATTTAATGATTATAGAGTCGCGGATATGATGTACGCGCGGAAAGCAGCGATTCGTGCATTAGTTGCAAACTTTGAGGACGTATTTCTAATGCTCGTGAAGGCAGACATTTGTGTCTCTGTCCAGGAAGTCGCCAATCGGGTGGACGCACTCCGCAAAGACATCTACGCCAACGATCGTCACCTCTTTGTTGACTCTGCCGTCGACTTCGAGGGGTATTTCACTTGACTTAACCATCTTTTGTGCAAATGTAGGCTTAAATGAATTTGTATGACAGGATCAACGACTCGTTCCTTACCATAGGTTTGCGGTTAAATGAGATATACGTCTCACTAGGAGGAGAACCTCATCAGTAATTGAATGTTTAAAATCAACAACCTGCTTTAATTTTCAAATAGGCTTAAATATAAAGGGAACTAATGCTATGCTACACAAACAGTATATTTGGTACTATTTAAGATATACTCACAAAAATATTAAAGCAGGTTGTTGATTTTAAACATTCAATTGATAGACACTGTATTTTGTTGTCATAAAATATTATTTAATATTAATAAAGAAACTGTTTTTCAAAGTTAACTAAAACTCGGAATTTACTTGATGACAAAATAAATACATTAAAATCATAACAAATATATATGGATATAAAAACTATTTAGAAATACAGTATATGGCAATTAACTAACGGATGAGCTATTTGTCGGGTGTTTGGCACTGTTGACAGTCACTCATCTCATCCCTGTATTCCTCCACTTGAATGGTTAGCTCATAGATATTGAAGCGACTCTTAATCTGTTGCGACGCTATGTTCAGGATTTTTGTCGGATTCTGTGCTTTGGCTGTAAATAACAATTCAATGATAGGATACAAGATATCAAACAAATGATAGGAATGCCTACCAATGGCCAGATGTGTGGAGAGCGCCGTCTTATCGAGACTTAACGACCAGATTCTCAAGTTATGCACTTTGAGGACACCCGGGATATTGAACAGAGTGTTGCGCACCTCCACAAAGTCCACGCCACGGGGTTTGCCTTATATGTCAATTCATTGCTAATTAGTTTTCATTTCATATGATAATTGTAACATTTATTTCATAGTTATGTTTATCAGTCTATTCGTGATTAGCTATCATTGATTAGTAATCATCTCAATGTCTATTTAAACTCAATTTTCTTATTATATAAGAATTACTGTATATTTAATGGAAATACTATGAAATGAAATTGAATTTTAATTAACATTAATCCAGTGATGAGATAAGGTTTGATAGGAATAGCAATAGTAATCATTTTCTCATAAATATATTCAACTCAAAGCACATGAATTAGTAAATGAGTTGAATGTGAATCTAATCTGAAGTGTTTGGGTCTAAAATTCCTATGAATTGGTGATTATTTTGGTGTTTTGTGCAAAACATTTGTCAGATATTATGCTAAACATTGCATTAATCTCTATTCAATCCTTTGTTTGTTCGGCATAATCTGAAGTGTTTGGGTCTAAAATTCCTATGAATTGGTGATTATTTTGGTGTTTTGTGCAAAACATTTGTCAGATATTATGCTAAACATTGCTAATTAGAGATAAGTTAGGAAACAAACAAGCCGTTTTTCGTTTGTAAATAAATAGTGTACTTAACCGCTATTTATTTATGTATATTATTACCTTTAATTTTAATTTTAAGTATTTGTGAACATACTTATGAATGGAAAAAAAAAACACAGAATCGCTTCATACCTTCCATGAGGACATTGAGTACATCTTTGATTATATTGAATGTTGTGATCAATACGAGCACAGAGAAGAGGAAAGTACAGATGGGGTCAACGATACCCCACTCGGGTATGAAGTATATGATGAGAGCGGCCACCAAAACGCCCAGACTCTGGAAGAAGTCGCCCAACACGTGGATGAACGCAGCCTTAGGGGACACACAGATGCAGATAATGAGTGTTTCATTCAATTATCATGTGATTGACGAGAGATAAGCCGTACCCTAACGTTGATATTAGTAGCCCTTCTCGGCTGCTCGACGTCTCCACTCTTGTGGCTGTGGTCATGATTATCGTTGTGATGGGAGTGACCGCCCCCTCCATGGCTGTGCCCGTGACTGATACCGCCGGCCGATAGAGAAATTCCCATACTTTGGACGACAGATGGTTAGCCATAAAACACTGTAAACTGTAACTCAAACACAAGAACTCATACATAATGTTGACGATGACTCCGACGGATGCGGTGATGACCATAATCTCAGCCTCGATCTCATACTTTTGACTCATAATACGCTCGACGGCCATAAAACACAGGATACCGGTGACCACCCATATCATGAGGACAGAGGTGAGTGCGCCGATCACCTCAGCCCTGTGCCACCCGAAGCTCATATGAGTGCTGGCCTTTCGGGTGAAAGTACAGATGGGGTCAACGATACCCCACTCGGGTATGAAGTATATGATGAGAGCGGCCACCAAAACGCCCAGACTCTGGAAGAAGTCGCCCAACACGTGGATGAACGCAGCCTTAGGGGACACAGAGATGCAGATAATTATCATGTGATTGACGAGAGATAAGCCGTACCCTAACGTTGATATTAGTAGCCCTTCTCGGCTGCTCGACGTCTCCACTCTTGTGGCTGTGGTCATGATTGTCGTTGTGATGATGGGAGTGACCGCCCCCTCCATGGCTGTGCCCGTGACTGATACCGCCGGCCGATAGAGAAATTCCCATACTTTGTACGACAGATGGTTAGCCATAAAACACAGTAAACATTAACTCAAACACAAGAACTCATACATAATGTTGACGATGACTCCGACGGATGCGGTGATGACCATAATCTCTGCGTCGATCTCATACTTTTTACTGTATTATGCGAGCTGCCGGTATTTTGTGTCCTATGGCCACTGGTGGGTATAGTACTCCTGTCTCCACTCACGCGGCTAGTGGAGTCGGGACACGGTGGGCTTCGAGTATACTCACGACCGGAAAGCCCTGGCCATCCATAGCGAGAAGAGACTTATCATAAAACTGGCGAAATCTGTGAGCAAATGGGCCGCGTCTGTAGCGATGGCCAGACTGTTGGCCAGTAGTCCGCCCACCACTTCGATCACCATAAATATGAGACACAAGACGCTGGCCGTCCAGAGCTTGCGTCGGGCGCTGCGGTCCACTGTATCGCCGCTATTGTCCATAGAGTGACAGTGAGACCAGTTGACGGTCTGAGACACCGGTTTGCCGTCTCTGTTGCAGCAAATCTTCTCATTGTTTCCATGACTGCAATACACGATTGAGTCGACGGCCGTTGAGTCTCACCAGAAATGCCATCATTACTGATATGAACGATACGTATAGTCATCGCATTGTAAGCAACGATATCACCAATGATTGTGACGAAGATTCTTGTGATGAAGACACGAATGACAATGATTTTGATGACCAAAACACAGATGAAAGCAAAACTATTGTCGATTTGATTGAATTTAAATATTTAGTCAATTTGTGAGTGAATTCGCAAATAATATATTGAGAACTGGTTTTAAATTTGCATTTCTTTACAAAAACAGATATAATGAGAGATTTGACGGAAGAGTTGGCTCTATCGTGAGGTCCATAACAAAAGACTTTCGACTCGTGCTGTCCTTAACTCTACTCATTATAGCGATGGTTATAATGGTGTGGTCGCTGTTGCCGATAGGCTTTCCCTGCGAGTGTCGGTGCAGTTATTCTTGGTATCAGATTCTCAGTGCAATTCTTATGTCTCATTCCTCGCAAGACATAGTCAGTCCCATCCAGTGATCAGTTGTTTATTTGTTTTGTATTACTGTTATTGTATTAATTTATATTTTAATATTATGTCAATTGTTAGCAAATCTATTAATTTTATGATCATTTCATTTATTGTATGTTATTTTTCTCATTAAATTCACTCATTTGTTCGCTAATGATATTTCATATGACATTCAAATTGATTATTATATTAATATTCGTATTGAAAATCATGTTCACATCGATTCTGTGCTCAATTACAGTGTTAATAATTGTGACAAACAATTGGTAATACATTTCATACCACTTTCGTAACAGAATTCAAACTTAATGTTTAGAAGTTTCTAAATTCAATTCAAATACATTGAAATCAGCAAAAGTTTGGACAGGTAGGCGCATGTGTATAATACCTGTATTGGCGCTCAATATTGAATATTCTGTCTAGTTGACTGTATGTGTACATGTAGAATATGTTCACTAATATGAATAGTACCTAGATTATGAACTCAATATTCAAACCAACACGTGTTCATTGATTGCTATCATTTTCACATTCATTTCTATTAGCATTTGACTCATTAGTTGACAAATAATTAGCGATTAATTGGAGAAATGGTTTGTTTTCATGAAATGATCGATAGATTCACACATTTGTCACTCAATGGAAATACTGATAATAGAGATGTGCTGTGAGTGGACACCTAATCAATCAGTTGTCATAACTTATTTGCATTAATTACAAGCTTTTTGTTAGTGACTTAAGACCTGTAATAATGTCGGATCAAACTGAAGTCGATGCCCACCTATACCTCCGAGTTTTGCGACCATTCAGAGCTATCCGAAGAGCATTCAAAGCGAGGGCGCAAGAGATCGTCTCAAAAGAGTATGTTTTCATTGATTTGATCAAATAATTTGATTAATTCTTACTTAGTATTAATACCACTATATTTACGGTATTCATTGCATATTATTGATACTTATAAAAAAATATTGGGTTTAGTATAGATAATATGAATTTAGAAAATGGAAATATTCTTATTATAAAACATGATTATTGAAAAATTGATTATAATTTAATGATTATAGAATCGCGGATATTATGTACACGAGGGAAGTAACGATTCGTTCATTAGTTGCAAACTTTGAACATTTATTTCTAATGCAAATCAATGCAGACATTTGTGTGTCTGTCCAGGAAGTGGTCGATCGCGTGAACGCAACCCGAGAGCAGATCTATGCCAACGATCGGCGCCTCTTTGTTGGCTCTACAGCCGACAAAGAGGGGTATTTCACTTCACTTAACCATCTTTTGTGCAAATGATAGCCTTTCTTATAAAAGAGCTATCTCTAAATACAAATATATCAATTATTGTATGAGTTATATTATAAACTATAAGTAATGCATCAATATAATCAATGTATACACAAATATAAATAAAATTATATTATTAAACACTACAATAAACTTAAATCATCTAGCATACAATGATTATATTGATGCATTACTTATAGTTTATAATATAACTCATACAATAATTGATATATTTGTATTTAGAGATAGCTCTTTTATAAGAAAGGCTATCAAATGTAGGCTTAAATGAATTTGTATGACAAGATCAACGACTCATTTCTCGAGATTGTGTTACGTTTGAATGAGATTTACGTTTCACTCGGAGAAGTCATCATTAATTGATTGATAATATCATTATAATGTCTCCAAAGTTAATGTCAATTCAAATGTTAATCACAAAAATAGCAATTTCTTGTATTTGATGATAGAATAATAAATACATTAATCATAACAAATATATATGAATAAAAAAACTATTTAGAAATATATGGCAATTAACTAATGGATGAGCTATTTGTCGGGTGTTTGGCACTGTTGACAGTCACTCATCTCATCCCTGTATTCCTCCACTTGAATGGTTAGCTCATAGATATTGAAGCGACTCTTAATCTGTTGCGACGCTATGTTCAG